CTGTTCAGTTAATATTTTAATTTGCAGACTGTTAAAATCCTATATGATGTTCTGCTGTAATATTCTGCCCCTCTACTCTGCTCTCATGAGACCTCACTTGGAGCACAGTGTACAGTTCTGGTGTCCTCAGCATGAGGAGGACATGGAGCTGTTAGAGCAAGTCCAGAGGAGCGCCACGAGGATGACAATGGGGCTGAAGCACCTCCAGTATGAAGACAGGCTGAGGAAGTTGGGGCTATTCAGCCTGGAGAAGAGAAGGCTCAACATAGACCTTCCAGTATCTGGCGTCTTCCAGTATCTGAAGGAGGCCTACAGGGATGCTGGGGAGGGACTCTTCATCGGGGACTGTAGTGACAGGATAAGGGGTAATGGGTTCAAGCTTAAAACAGGGGAGATGTATGTTAGATACAAGAAGGAAATTCTTTACTGTGAGTGTGGCAAGACACTGGCACAGGTCACCCAAGGAAGTTGTGGATGCTCCATCCCTGGCAGTGTTCAAGGACAGGCTGGACAGGGCCTTGAGAAACCTAGTTTAGTAGGTGTCCCTGCCCATGGCACGGGGGCTGGAACTAGATGATCTTAAGGTCCCTTCCAATCCAAACCATTCTATGATTCTATGATTTTCACAAAATCAACTTTTTAAAGTAGAGTTATAAGTCAAAGACCAACCAAATTATTACTTCAATTGCTAGGCTCAAGATGGCAGTAAAAGGGGCTGGATTTAAACGTAAATATGACAAATCTACTGAAAAAACACCATTAGACTATGAATGAGAAATTCAGTTATGCTATCATCAATAATTACACGTCTTTGTAAAATAAACTCTTCAAACCCACAATAAAAGCACTCATGCTACACAGGGACATCTACACATTCTCAAGCATTTGTTTATAGCTTTAAAACATAACATTCAACAAGCACTAACACTTAAGGACAAGACATTTTCTGAACTGTAACTTTTGTTAAGATAAGACTGATGCAATGGTTCAATGTAGTCAATTCAAACACTAATGGAGGCAGGCCAGAGTCAGGTTTTTCAGTACTTAGTAGTTACTCACACAGGGCAGAACTCCTCTTCAAACAACTCAGACAACTACCGACATAATATTAAGTCATTTTCTCAGTTATTTGAGGACACTGCTGATAAAGGGCAGTCCCAGACAATGATTAAGGAGCCTCTTCCATCCTCTTCCCCTTCTATCCCACTTCCAATTTCTCCAGACCAATCCCGCTTCACGCATTACCAAATACAATACAGCTCTGATACAGGCTTCGAGGTCTGAACCATGGCACTACGCCAAATCTTCCAGTTTCAAAAAAATCGGAAATTAAAACAATTATCCTCAGAAAAAAGGCAATCCAATACTGCCAATAATTTCACAACCTAAATTCACTACGTGACTACAACTGAAATTACCAAAATGCAGCACAGCATTACTGCAGAATGTTTGGGTATAGTGTAAACACAGTGAAACCCTCATGAATAAAATATAATGCAATTTGAATTAGTGTAAGTTTTCTTCAAGTTATAAAACAATTGTAGAACTAATATTACAACTTACATGAAGTACAGAAAATGTTTAAGCTTTCTGCAGTTTAATCATCATTAATGGCACAAAGGAAAATATTTACGATCAAATGGGTCAGAGAATACAGCAAGAAGGTCCTTGCAGTATTGATTTTGTACATAAAATGAACTTCTTTAGTTGCATTTGCTATTGTCAAGAAGGCTTGACTAGTATTAATCCCCCTATCATTGAGCCTCAAGGAATTGCCAGTCAAGATGTCAAACTTATTTTTAAAGGATGAAACGAAACATATGACTGCTTTGTTGACTAGTAAGCGATTAAAGCATAACTCTGATTAAACTGAATTTGTGTCAGTGTCAACATAAAACTCCTTTTAAAACCAGAAGTCAGCACTATGAATTATTTACTGTTCTCTGAAAGCTCAGTATCAACACATCAATTCACTCTCATTACAAACCAGTTGGAATCCTCTTCTAACATGCAGGATGGCGGCAACATGAGCCTGCAATGTAGTGAGCAATGTAGCAAGGCAAGGCAACCACCCAAATTTTTGCATGCTAGGAGTAGCTTTAGCATCCTTCCATGAAGTGTAACAGCTTCAGAAGACCTTGAAAAAGACATGGCAGGTCTTAATCATAAAATCATTCCTGAGTAGGGATAACTCCTAAAAACCTGTGTGTGTGATCGCTTGGAATAGCACCAAACAACATCCGAGAGGCATCGCAGTACAAATAACATCACACAAACAACCCACAATGGAAAACTCAGCTGCTTTAATGTTGAAGAACTGAACTACTAATGGGAGTTGTAAAAAAAAGTTTCCTCAAAACTACATGACGGAAAGACCACCTTTCTACTATCTATGTTCAAAGTATTTTGTCCCTTAGAAGCTTGTAAGAGACTGCCAAAGCCAGAAATACTGGACAAAGTCAAACTACCCCATAGAATATACAAGTATTTAGCCTAAATTTATGACCCTGCGAAGACACAACCCCCTTCTTCAGAAACAGCATTCAAGCCTAATTTGGTTTATCACACCCTTAAGATCTTTAATTCTCAAATTCTAATAAAACAAAGATTGGTCATCAGAAAGTGCAGAGAACAAAGCATGAATAGCCAGATGCTGCAAAAACACTAAATCATACTCCCAAAAGCACACATAAGTAATGCTTACCAAAGAGGTCATGTTGTCAAATACATTAATTAAAGAGACAAATTAAATACGAAGGGTCTATTACTTCTTAATTAAATCTGGCCATGATGCACAACTTCTGTGCAAAGTCATGAAGACCTCTATACTACCACAGTGCCTGAAATTCAGCACATTTCTCTTAGTTGATTTTTCCTTTACAGCAGCCACATACAAACATCCATGTGCTGCAAAAGCATTACCAAGCACTTCTAAACCAGCTGTACTTGCAGAACTTAGGCCTAGAGCAAATAGTATTTCAACTATTACTTTTCACAAACAATACTGGAAATGTGCCACTGTGTTATAACTTCCATTAGAAATATGCCTCTTCAGATAAGGCTGAGGAAAAGATTAAAGATTATCATCCTAATTTCAATGTTGTGGAACAGCAATAGTTACCATCATTAGATTTTAAAAATATTTCTTATATACAATCTTTTCTTAAAAAAAAAAAAGTTTTCTTACAGTTTCACAGAAATTTCAGAATTTCAGTAACTAATTGACAGTAATTGATGATTATAGTTTCGTTCCAGTGAAAACTACACCAATTATCCAGCTACCAAGTTAGGCCTTCAAGTCCAGTTATGCCTGTTTGGTGTAACAGAAGAACATTAGATTGACCTCTGATTTTTAGCCTTTGTTTCCAAAAGACTCAATAATATTCCTAGCATCTCTCAGCAGTGCACTGTGCTGGCTAGAATTAGCTGAAACTGCATATTAAATGTGGTTTCTCAAACTAAATTAGTTTGTAAATTAGTAAATCAAGTCCCCACAACCTCAAGTTGGAGCTTTGGAATAGGACAAAACCCACTAATCTTTTATTCCTTACTCTGAAAATATGGCAAACTATCATTAGCAAAATATATGTGTTAAAACTAAAAAACTAATGCAAACCTGAAATAATGCAATGACTTAAAACATAGCAGTTCTATAGAAGATAGATTCCCACACTCGCAAGAGAGTTCTAAGCCCTGATTGATCACAAAGGGTAACATAAAGCACTCCTTCACTATAAAGCAGCTATTGGCTTAACAAAGTAATCTGGTTTATACAAAATTATAAGGATAGTATGAGTTTGTAAAAAAAGCTGCAGATTTTTCCTCCAAGTGAAAAGTCAGATAGACAACTCATTGCAGTTTCTCCTGGTTTTCACACTTCCCCGCTTAAACTATACAACAAATACTCACACAACAGGTAAATTCCAGAACCTCCCCAAAAGTATTTTAAATAGATGCAGATAACCTGCGTACCGAGACATAATTCTACAGAATACATTCATTGCTTTTAAATCCTACACAAGTATTATCAGATTTCAGCAATAAGATTATGCATCAGCTGAAATAAGATGTCTCTAGTTGCAGCTGTATTAAAGAGTACTAATGGAAATGTTCACATAAGAGTACCATGATTTTTCACCGCACATTAAATAATTTTATAGACTCCAGTTATATTCAAAATTGAAAAATTATAAAATTAGCATACTGGCAGCTTCTTAAAGGAATGCCTTTTTACTTCAGAGTGTTTGTTTACTAAACGCTCGTGGCCAACCTTGATATTAACATGGCATGGCAATCTAAGGCTTTTAAAAATATTTTTTAAAAGCAATCTGAACTGCCTTCATATTTCTCAATTCCATATATCTTAGGACTAAAGTTTTGTGCATTCGACATGATCACCAACTTTTAAACCCTGTGAAGAGTCTCAGATTGTAAAATTAGCATTTCCTAAATTCATCACCAAATTACTGACAGAACACTCACATACAGTATTTACTATGTGTCCTAACTAGATTTGATACCTGAAGCATTCCTATAATGAAGACTTCATTTTTTCCGACATGTTCTAACTTACCCTTGTTTTAGATCTAAGAAAATAAAAAAACAAAAACCAAGAAAGAAAACAAAACAAACCACAAACCAGTATTTTGCTTGTTTCAACAAAACCAATGTTGCAAAATGTTGTGCAAGAAAACACTGAAAGAGAAAACACAGTTGTGTGTATGGGGCTAATATTTTGAATGAAAAGTCATGTTACTCTCTATGTGGGAAACAATTTCAAAATCCTCTAGAAATTTATGTACCATGCACATCATATGCTAAATTCCGTTTAAAAGGAACAAACCTCCAGCTCATAACAAAATTTTCAGTCGTTGCCAGCAGTTTTGACAGGGTTTCTGGTATTCTTCAGAAGGAAACAGATAAATTTAAAAACCAAAAAGGTCTCTGTCCAAGAGTGTCAGTAAACAATGTAACAAAAGTTGTAAAAATCAGTATCAGACTTACTGCCAGTGCTTTAGATAACTTTGTTCTGTAGTTATTCAAAACAATTGCATCGATATCCTTAAGTGGCACATATGCAAAGCCGTCTTTAATAAACACTCTTCTGGCTCTAAACAGATCCACAGCATCTGCAAGTCCAACCTAAGAAAGAAGAAAACCCCACATTGTAGAATAGCAAAATAACACAGTAACAATTTTACAACCCTAAGATTCAAGGTGGACCAGTACAGCTTTAAGTCATTCTCTGTCTTTTAGCACTCTACCCAGGCAAAATGTAAAGAGTTTGAAATTAAGTGTTGCCTTTGGAATAGCTGATCATTATTTTGGTGGAAAAATTGTTTACCTGCAGAAAGTCATGCAGCTAGGCAAAATAAGCTATCTTAAAGCTTGTGTCTATGATTATTAGCTCAATTATGTAGCTTTGCATCATTTACTGATTTGATATTTGAAAATGGCCTTCTGGTGGCCTTCTGTTTCAGGCATCTTGAAATATTTTACTCATGTAAAGCTACATATCTTGGAAGTAGATCTGGAACCCAACCAACTTCAGTCCAAAAAAGAATCAGGGGTTTCCATTAGACAGTTACTTCCTCTCTCTTTGCTCTATTGCAAAAAAACCTTCAGAATAATACAATCAGCCCAAACCTACTTTCAGCAACAGAAGTTTGAGAATGCCTCCAAACTGAATGGTCTGTCAGCCAGGCAAGTTAAGTCAATTGTCCAGGAAACATTAAAACTTAAGACCATTTCTGTGGTGAAAGGCAAGTGATGGCAGAAAAGGACAGAAGACAGTAATGGTAGTTCAAAGCTCCGAGTCCCTCCCTCTACCCTTATATAGACATAAAGGAAGGAAACTCTTATTTCTCAACCTCAGTTGAGAGATTAACTGTGAGCAATAGTATTATGCAAACTTAACTCCAAGTTTAACTGAAAAAGAATGAGTGCAAATCTGTGGAACTTAGTAGTTTATACTTACCTTATAGAACATTTGTTCTTTTACTTTAGTCATAGTGAAGCCAGGGGTTGATGCAAGCAGCTCATTTGCCAATTCATTTTTCATATCTTCACTAATCTAAAATTAAGAGCTTGTTTTAAAACTGCTGAAATACTTCAGAATAAGGCTTTATTTTTTTTTAATTAACACAAACTAAAAGATTACTTAATCTGTGAACATACCATCCTTTTAGTTGACAAGGGAAAAAGAATTACATATTCAGTGAGTGATCACTAATAACTGATTAAGCAGAAACCAGCAAAACACTAGTGGTCAATAGTGTTAAATAACCTTCCTTCTTAAGCCGTAGTGCAGATTTTAAAATATAATAATTTTAAGCATTAACACAAAACTGTATTTTTTAAAAGTCAGCCTTTTAAAAGCCACAAAATAAAACTTGTGATAAACTCTGCTCACATCTAGATTCACTGTATGCATTGAAATAAAGCATGATGACTCAATGGCAGTCAGTAAGGACATACACAACTTGGTCAGATTTTTGACAAAAACATCAGTTTCAGCTCATTTTTAAATCCAGACTTTAAAAAACAAACAAACAAAAAAAAAAACAACCAAACAACAACAGGACCAAAAAACCACAACATGTCATCTATGGTATAATTCTTGTTCTATAAACGTGAATGCTTTTCCAGTTCTTGAAATGGGCAAGTTAACCAGCAGTACTCCAATTTAACAACTTGAACTACTTAAGCCAAAATTTCTAGCTTGCAAAAATCACAGATAATGCTACACTTCATAATATAAACACTTAAAATACTGCACATACATAACTATATATGTTATGCTTTTTTACTACTTAATAGCACACCAAATACAGCAGAAAAGCCACAAAAAATTAGTACATTGTAATGATTTTACTAGTCAATAAATCATTTTAGGGTTTTATACAAAGGAAAACAACAACAACAACATTTGGAACCAATTTGTTCTGCTTTAGATCATAATTAAGATCAAGCTTTAAAGCCTGAAAAAAGTACTAAATTAAAAAAAGAATTAAAAAATTTTAAGTAATCTATTCTGATAAAACAGATCATACAGGCTGGTAATCCACCAGTGATATCTAGTACCATAACTACATGCAACAACAGTCTTGCATATTTGCACAATATGTTCTTGATGAAATACAATGGAAGTAGTCCCTGACTGAAAGGGATTACATGTTAAGAAACAGAGATTACCTTCCCAAAATACAGATGGACACAGATGTCACCAAAGCATAACACACTGTGTGATGGTGCCCCAATAACTATGGAGAGGTGATACAAAGCTGCAGCCAAGACAAGCTTTTAGAGACTTGTCAGCAACCAAGGTGAGGCAATCATATGCGTTAGATACCCACCCAGACTCCAAACACAAGATAAAACAGACACTCAGCGTCATTCATCTGCACGGAAAGGGATGAGCATAAACAGTTCAGTTTCTTTTCTGAATGGAACAGAATACCTAATTTATTGACCAACACTTCTATGCAGTTAAATAGGCATTTAAAACTTTTTTCCTTCTTCTCAATTCAAAGACCAAGAAAATGAAACAAAACAAAGCCCCACTTTTCTTGGAAGTCATAGGAAGGACTCTTTCACTTCAAACTTAGAGGAGTAGTTCAGCAAATCCGCTCTATGAAAGTGATTTGATGGATGCATATGAAATGGCCAAGGCAGGGATGTCTAGAAGGCTTATGGTTACCCTGTCTGCATCTTGATGTTGATCTAGATGCAACTGTAGTACTCTCAGGAAAATCAGCTTTAAATAACAACAACAAATCTGCCACCAAGGCAGAAGAATGTAACTTTGAAGACAGGGGAAATACACAGTAGCATTATTTCCACATGTGAAAATCTAATGCTCAGAGAAAAACAAGCTGTATGAAGAAGATTTTTCTTTAACAAAGTACCTCTATCAAAACAGTTAAATGTGTTTGTGTAAATAATTTGAGAAAACACTATCTATAAAATACTCCCACTAATGATCTCATTTTTGTTAGTCTTTGAAAGATTCCCGCTTTTCAAACATGACATGCAGGAACTATATACAAATTTCTCACAGTGCTACCAAAACCCTGCTACTCCTTCCAGATAATCTATTTCTTGTTTAAATCACTATAAATCTAAGTCACCACATGAGCCTGCAAGCTTGCCTTTCACCTAGTACAGACCAAAGTTTTCATTTTAATTCCAGAATAGCGACTTCCATTTTTCAAATGTAACAGGTTTATGCTTTCTCAGTTGAAATTGCTTACAAGAGCCCAGCCTACCATTGATGAAACTGTCTTCAAATAAAACCAGTGAAACATACTGTATAGCTATAGTGGTTACAATTGCATTATTTCTTCTAGGATATCTCACTAAATAAAACATGAAACCAAGCCAAGGATTCTTTATTTTATTTATTTTTTTTTTTTTTACAGACAGGCATTAAAACAATCCAGTCACTGCTTTACAGACAAAGCTTGCAATACTGGGGAAGAATGAGAAGGGGGAAAAGGAAGGATTCCTTTGTTTTTCAAAAACCAATTAGCTCATTTTCATCCACAAAATCATTTCATTATTACATTTAATTTCAATGTGTTTTTACCTCTTTATATACATGTAAAATAATTATATTGACTCCAAACTTCACAACCTGTCTAGAATCTTCTTTATTAGTAATTTGACCATACCAATCTTGTACAGATGCAAAGTCACAGTGATTTTAGATTTTCTTGCATCCCACTTGCAAAAAATTTAACACTCTTGGGGTAAAAATGATCCTGGTGAAACCTCCAGCAGAACAGGTTAATGGATCATGACTACAGATTTGGACAAGATCATGAGCAATGTTACCAAAAACACAGTTCCATCAGAAACTGTATTTTCTAAACCAACACAGTTAATATTGCAAAGCAATATTTATCCTATAAATAAATAATATTATAAAGCTGTTAAATAATTCACTTCTTACAGCCTCAAGCACCTTATCACAGTTAGGCAAACCTTCAGCAGCCCTACAATCACTTTGCTCCTTGCCTTTTCACCAAATTCACATTGCCTTCATGTTTTCAGCTAATGGAGAGAAAGGAAGGAGAAACAAGGATATTCCTAGCTCCTAAATAAAGCTGGGAGATGACTCCAGAATGCATTTAAATATAAAACTTGCTTTTCTAAAGACCAGAACATTAAAAATAATTGATATTGGCATTAAGGTTTTCACTATTTTAATGAAAAATTGAGTAAAACTGACTGAAGGTGCAGTTCAATGAAAATAAGCTCCTTACAGTGTGAACTCAAACTCAAGCTTTCAGTTAGGTCATGCCTGTGCCTCTGTACACACAGGGCATCATGAAACATGTACCCCATTTTTACTTAGTTCATGGAAGCTGGAAAAACATTTTTTCCCTCCCCCCCTTTATTTTAAAAAGAACGCTAGAGTTTGTACATTTAATAACCTCATTTTAAAATGGCACCTGCAAGAACACATTCCGGTAATCATTAAAAAATTAGACACAATTAAAGACAGCTTTTAGGATTCTAATGAAGATCAGAAAGATAAACAGACTGTGTAACTCTTGACAGAGCTCAGTGACATTTGCCAGATAAAATACAGGAGATTCTAAAATAAACAGAATTCTTCTGAGGGTGTCACCTGGTGCTCATCTGACCCTTCACACTGAACTTACTCAACTCACCCCACAGAAAATAACTCACTAGTTTTGCCTCATTTGTTGCCAGTCTAGTTAACTGCAACTGCTTATCACCAAGTCATCCTTCACTCTGAACAAGCAAAAAGTAACACTTCCCTTTTCAGTGACAGTGGGTCATGTATTGTAGCTTGAAACAATTGAACACTTCAGTAAGTTTTTGAGACTTCAAGAAATTAGGAAAAAAAAAATCAAGACATGAAAAGGGAAGGCATAAGAAGAAAGGAAGGAAGCAGATCTGGGACAAGTTGCATTATTTCTAGTTTTCTTGCTTTCTACATGCAGTTTATTCATGGATCTTTAATCACAGAATTGTCCCGGAAACACAAAGACACATAAATTTAGATTAAAATATTCATAATTTAACACGTAAGGCTTGATTAAACAAACACTGGCAGTGGGCCAGTCCAAAAACTTCAAAATACATTTTATAACCCTGCTCTGTTTTAATGAAGAGATGAAGATGCATGCACACATTGTACTACTATATATGCACAACTGCTTACTTTGGCTGTTTCTAGGTTTCCCAGTAGGGAACAAGAACTCAATGCACAAGTCCTTTCCTTTTCCAAGGCTCAGCTTCAGGTGTTTACAGGCACACATCTCTGGTGTCCTTAGAAAGTGAACTTTAGAATATGCTTTTAGTTACCGAGCAGCTGGTATGCAAGTGGCAAAGCACCCTTCTCAAAAAGGCATGGCATCAGTATCTCAGTACTACACTGTATTTCCATTCTAAGTATGAAACAGACAAAACAGTCATTTTCTAATCAATCTTCTCCATTGTCACACATCACGGTACAAACTAAGCTAGAACAAGACTACAAAAGTATTAACTTAGATATCATTAAATTTAAGAATATAAATTTAAAATGTATTCAGCCAGTTAACAAATACTAGCTTGATTAGGAAAGCACATCATTCCCAGCTGTCCTACCAGTTAAAAGCAGGGATAGACTTTAAAACATTTCAGAGGTTCAAAAATCTGATGACTCTTCTTAAGAGATATCAATTCCTTTTAAGCCAGGCGCAATGAATTAAGAAGAAAATTCTATTTCCCATGGTACAACAACTTACTATTTTAGCTCAAGTTCAAGTTGCTGGCATCCCTTAAAAACATAAAGGGCTGTAGTTGGAATATTATGTATTCTTATCCATCGACTGAAATGTTGTTTGGGCTTTTTTTAAAGTCAGGAGTCGGCAAGGAAAGGACGATTTATGGATCTTCCTCAACTATGCAGCTAATTCAAGGTTATCATAACCAAAGAGAAAACTGAGAGACACAGGTCCAGTTTCCTATATTCCTGACAAACTTTCCCCTACATCCATGAAAAAGGAAGTTAAACAAAACAATTATTACAGATTACTTTAAATACATATTACATTA